AGCAGCAGCATTGTCTCGACCTGCTCCGCGCAAAGCTTTTGCCTATGACATTGCTATCCTTAGAATTGAGAGCCTGGCACAATTTTTAGAGAGATCGGAGTCTAAATCTGTCGACGGACACTACGAGCTCGAGTTGATGGCCCATGATGAAGACAATGGAGAGCCCGCACTGCCATACCCACATTCGAGAAAACCATCAGGTAACGCAAAGTGGTCGTATGTGCCCGCCCTATGCTTTCGCCTTCTGGCGACGGGCAATTTGGCGACGACCGACGTCAGTCTTTCCAAAGCATGTTCCATTCTTAGTTGATAACGTGTTCCTTTGCGCGCTATAGGCGAGAATTTAGCCGAGGCGTCATGTGACTAAAACACCACCGGAATGCATTGCCAGTCTGGTCGCTCGAGGACTTCCCTTCGATCAACATGGAATTCTGAAAATGTCGAGTTCCAGGTACTTTTGTGAGAGGGTACAGCAATCTACGAGAGACTACGCGAGGCAACTTTACTACTTATTGACCATGCATTGGGCAGATTATGCGTTGACGTGTCCAATAATTCGATGGGCCAAGGTTCACTTGGCGCTGAGAAGTTATAGGAAGAGTTGTGTCTATGGGAGCGGTCTCATGACTCAAAATATTGGTATTTAACGCGGCAAACCGTAAGGACAGAAATAAGAGTTGACAAAATGTTCGTCAGGCGCGTGTCCGTCCGGCCATGAGCGGGCGCCAAGTCTGTCTTTATGCAGAGAATATTTGTCGTTCACACATCTTTCATGTGCTTTAAAAAGGCTTTTGTCGCTCTGCCTGTCGAGCCCATAGCACTCTGTCTCGAGTCGACTTTGACCTCGACCTTGTTGTGCGTGAGCAAATTCACGCATTACAGTTGACTACCTCAAAATTCCTGAGCTCAGTCTCTGCTGGTGAGGTCATCCATTTGCACGTGATCACTAACGCGAACAGTTACTTCGGCCGATGTAGCTTCCAGGCGCGCATCAGGAAACCCCAATTCTCACCACGATATCTCCGCGCTCCTCACAATGGTGGACATCCACCCTTCAACCACAGAGACTTGACCGGAAGAAGGCTTGATTCAGGTTTGCGACGTGCACGATAGTGGCGTCGTTCTCCTTTCGCTTGAGTTCTTGAGGGTCGGTGGCGTGCTTTCCTGGGAATATGTGTTCTTTGCAACACAATCGGTCCGTGTACTCGGGATTGTCTTGGATCTAGGGAGGATGATTGGCAAGCACAAAGGCTGTGCTGGGGCGTTCAATTGTCTCCAGAAGCTGATGCGGGTACATGGTGGTGCACCAGCGGTCCACATCAAGCTCTTCTTCCATAGTGATATGCTAGTATGCTGATATGAGATTGTGGTGTGGGGCCAGACCCAGGCTTTTCAGATTTCCTCACATGCAGAAGAGATAAGGACACGTTCTCTGAGCACAGGCCATCCTCAATTTAAAGTTTTTGTGTCACTGACATGCTCATTCTTAAACAATGTGTCATTTGCCTTGTTCTAAGCCCTCAGGCATGCAGAACCATTGCCTTCGTGCCAATGGAATCGTCTCATCTTATTCTAGCTAGCTGAAAAAAAAATTTCCAAGTTTTACTTCTCTTTCACATACTTTACTTTAAGAAGGGTGCTTTTCATTTTTGGTCTTACAACAGCTACTACAACGCGCCAACCCCTCTTTCTTCGCTCTATAGACCGGGTAATCCTCGTTCCGCACTTTCGAATCAAGTTTGTTTCGTTTTAAACCACGGTTTTATGATTCTGCACCTGATCTTCCGACTTTTTAAAGTAATGGGGTGACTCCAAAAGCCGTGCATATTCCCGACAAGAATGGTCGTGTTGTCACGCTTTAAACATTAGCAGAAATGTTCACTACAACCTTGACACCACAAGTAAGCATGAAAGCATAAGATTACTATTTGAATCGCAAAAAGTTTTCAACGTTGTCTAGCAGCCGGCGCCATCTTGTCGTACGCAGAGTCCTAAGACGGTCAGAATTTAGTACAACTCGCGAGTCGCAGAATGAATTACATAACTTACCGACGTCATTTTGCGCACAAAGAACGAATGGGTCATTGTCAATTATGTCCTGCGTGCAACATACACCGCTGGGCCTGAATGCGATACAATCTGCATCGGTGGTGCACGGCGTATCCCGCTCCATAAAGTAACGTCTTCCGATTGTGCATTGGCGTCGTTCAGCTGGAAAGGCAGCACCTAGAGCAAACAGCGTTGCGAGGATGTAGATGCTGGAGAGAGAGAGAGAACAATTGCATGGTGAAGGCTGAAGGACAGGTGCTAAAAGTAGGGCATCGTCCGACAAATGTGTCGTTATATACCTATTTTCGCTTCCTTTCTTAGGAAGTTGGCACACAAGGACCGCGTGCTGCAAGGACTTTTTTTGGAAGACTAATGCCGTGCCATCTCGAGTCTAATTACAGACAATGTGAGCATGTCCGACGTTTTGATGATCCTTCTCTGCGTGCAACAGGAGCATATGGTCTTGACCTCAAGTTGGAGCGGCTCTTCACCTTACCAGCTCAACAGACGCATATAAGCTTGGTCTTCGATGCTTTGCCTCCGATAGCGGCGCTTGGTGACCGACGAAGCTGAAGTTGCTGCTCATTGCTGCATTGCGGTGGCGACTTTTTGTTCTTTTCTGAAGATTCTGACAAAGCATTCACGTCTCTCGATACGATGATGAGGATGGTGTTGAAAATTGCAATCTTTGCATCGAAAAAATGCTACTGCAGATCCTTCAATATTGATCCATTGAAAGAAGATCAGACACGACAATCGGAGCGTCATGTTCCAGTGCCGATTCTAGGGCGAGGTTAATGCGGAAGTATTTGATGACACGGCCAGTAGAACCCATTTCCGACATAATGAAGCGGCAGCCCATTCTTGGATAGCCGTGACACACGCGCGCCCCAGCGACGATAATTTATGTGCTCTTCCTAAAACAAACCTTAAGCTTGGCCGACGTACGTCGAGCAGACACGAGAGAAAAGTGAGCGCTGTCTTGCACTTATTGAAGCCGTGCAAGCCCCGAAAGACGACTGTGAAAGTGCCGCACGTCTAAGTAAGCGCAAAACGCGCAAAGTTGAGCAGTGCGATCACGGCGTAGCATTCGTGATGGTACGCAGTCATGTTTTACAAGTCGTGATTGCATTGAGCAATAGTCCTACTCCTCTACAAATATCCCAAATAATGAATCGCTCCGAATCGATGTAGGAAGAAGAAGCCTGTCTGTCATCAATCACGAAGCGGAAATTAGTCACTCGCATAGCTCATGTCAAGGCTCTTGTGCTCTGAATCGGTGGCATAGTCTCGCTATCGATGATACATCTACGGTCGCGCATCGCGTTCACACAAACAGAGGCTTGGCTTTATTTTCATTTTCATTTTGCACGTATCCTAGTCCCTTGAGAGGCTTGTTGAGGACTGTAAGCATGCTAAAGATGGAGACTGCAGCCAACGAGTCCAGTAGGACTGGCAACGACACGCTCCGGTAAGATAAAAGGCGGGTCCCATGGCAACGAACGACTCATTCTGCTGAGGTCAAGAAAAGTTTGCAACCACATTCGAAGATGGAGGTTAAGAGAGTAAATGAAGAAACAATGAAATTACGTTTATACCAAGCAATACTTAGAGACGAGCTGTCTTTGAGAGTTAAAATTATTTAAGCACCGAATGCTAGATACAAAGCAATTACGACAAGGCTTTTCCTTGATTCTCGTTATCGCTCGAACAAGCAAGTTGCTTCTCGTCAACCACAATGAACGATCGACCCAGATCCCTACCAGCATCATCTTTCGTGTAGTAAGAAGCTGTAGTTCCAATATTGTACATTCGTTTTTCTGTCTGCTGTGCAGTGCTCTAAGGTTCAGTCGGTGGCCTAGGGCTCAAGTCGAGAGCTCTTCTTCATCAGAATATGATGCAATCCCTTTTGCTGTAGAATCGAAATGAGTTTAAAGGAGTCGGACCTTTTTCGCCTTACGCAGCGCTGAAGGTTGATTTCTGAGCGAAAAGTTGAACTTCTCTAGTAAGAAAGTAGACGAGGCGTGATTGACAGATGTTTTGCGTTTGTGACGGGCTGTACTTGACGGGCTGTACTTGGGAGTTGAAGAAACAGAGTCGCGGAGAATATTGAGCAGTGTATCATCAAACCTTCCTGTATTGTCGTCCTCGGCTTCTGCCCGAGAAGCGTTCTGCAAAGCGATTATAAACGCTAATTTAGATTTTGGGTCGTGGAAAGATTCAGAGCTCGGAGCCAGGTGACTTTTCTCGGTCCACATATGATCCTCCGTGCTATTGAGCTCTCGCGCAGTGTTGGCGTCTTAGATCTCGTGGAGGAACTCTCAAAAAGAGCCAACTTCCACATTTCCTCATATTGCCACACATTCGTCGATATTCGAGTTGATCAAGCTTCTCGCTGAGCCTGAATGTCGGTCTGAAATCATGCGGATCAGGTTATCTGCTCACTACCTCAACGGATGCGCAGCGTTTCCATCGTCGCTTTCGCCTGCATGATGCAGGTCAATAATCAAGGCCAGATTTAAAGCAGGCGTCCCAATTCTCATCACAGGGGCGCGTCTCGATAATGTTGTGGCATTATAGATTCAACAGGATCAAGAGGTCCACGACAACTCGCAATTCCCGACCAGAACATATCAAAGGCAGACTTCTCATCACACTGAGAGAACTCAGAAACGCAGCATGCCATGCTGGTAGGGATTTTTCAACGATACTGGGACATACCAACCTGGTGGCAACCGCAAATACCGAGCAATTGTTCGTCAGGTCATTTGAAGCAAGGATTGACCACGGTTACTTGAATTTGTACGCTGCACCTCGAGTGCCTGCGCGTCAGTGAGGAATCGTTCAGTGTGCTGAACCTTGGCTCGAACGAGCTAAAGGGCCACAACCTCTATGACCTTGTCCACCCAGCGGATGCAGAAAGGCTGCATCGACTTGTCGATCAATTGCACATCAAGACAAGGTCGTCTATCTCCACTGTCGATCCGCTCACCATCGATCATTTCTCGCCTACATTCCTCGTTCGGTCTTCTCCCAAAAGTCTGTTCGTACATGACGAATTACGGATTCATCGCAAGCATGCGCAGAATTTTCATTTATTTTCTTTGCGCCTTCACATCGGCAGAACTTTTCCTAAAGAATGATGTCTCTACATTGTAGCAAGTGTCATCGCGATTGGCGAGGCTGCGAATCATCCGTCGCCAAGCCAGTTTTAAAATACTTTTATCGATCTTAGCGATGACCCCAGATATTTCTCGTCCCAGAAGATCGCACGCGCAGCGCACGCATGACGTGACCTAATGTGACACCCAAATTCGTTGCAAACACGTTTGAGTCCCCGCTTTCGATATCACAACCGGATCACCTATGTGGAAGTGGAAAGACATCCTTCTCGAGCGGACAGATGCGAAGCCTTGAAAACCTCGTGACAAGCTGGGAACGGCTTCAAGTTCAAATTGCACGACGTAAAGGACAGAACGGCGATCGAGAATCTCCCTCATTTTCCGCGAGGACAGAAGTTTGATGTGCATCGTTGATAGAGAGTCCGACTTGCAATCGGACTCTTTTGTCGTTGCTCTGTTGACCGACAGCTCCAACGTTCTTCCCCATCAGTAAATATTTCTCAGGCATGTCGGCGCCTGCCTCATTAAGTCGGTTGTGCCTGCGCGCGCAAAGGTGCGCGACGTGGCGCAAGGACATTTTCTCCAGCGCGTCCTTCGTCCGCCTCTTGTCGCCATTCTATGCATCACCGAGATGGCAAAAATTGGCATCCATCACAAGGAGGCTGCTCGCCAGAAAGGCACTACTGCGGAAGTAGAGCGCGAAGATCTCTGCGAGCTCATAAACTCCATTACGTATCAAGCTTTCGACTTCAACCTCTAGGCTGCGAGCGAAAGTCGAGTCTGGAACCGGAGGTCCGACAAGGTCAAGAAGGCTGATCGAGCTTTGTAGACTGCTTTAATCGGGATGCCTAGCACTGAAAGGCATATGAGCTGCTTGTCAAAATCGTCTAAAAATGCTTTGTGAGCAAATTGAAAGAAATATTGATTGCAGTCACTTGAAGGCGTTCGTGAATTCGCAAAAGTAAGAGGGAGAGGAGACTTTACAAAACCGGCATTGTTAAACTGATCTACCACCACATTTAAGTGACCGAAGTTACTAGTCGGGCCTCCTTATTGCTGAACGTAGAATTTTAGTACAGTTACGACTCGGATATCTAAGGGACACTGTCTTTCAGCGAATATAATGTAAGATTCAACCAATGAGAAAAGTCAGAAAAGATCCTGCCAAAATATCGCTTACAAACGCACTGTCCTAAGGGCGGCGAGAAGATTGCGCGGAAAATTAGTGGGAGAAGCGGACAACAATGCAAACAAAGATGAACAACAGGGGAAAGAGTCGAATACACGAGAGCAACATGCTGGCGAGTGGCCAAGCCAGCCAGACGGACGCAGGTAGATCAATTCGTCAAAGAGAGTGGTCACATCTGTTGGGCATGCTTTGCGGGCAAACCTAGCGGGCAAACCAAGCGGGCATGGGTTGGACGAGATTGGTCCTTGGAAGGCAGGGTGCACCAAGAAATACAACCATGAATTCTGTTCTCGTTGCTCCCATAATTTCAATCGTTGCTCCTGTCACTTTTGTCCCTACTGCTCCCATCGTTGCTGCTGTCTGCATTGCTTTCATGGTTTCAAACGTTGTGATTGTCTTTCTTGAGTCCATCGTGCCCTTTTCGTCTCCTGCTTATTTCGTTCATCAATTGTCTCGTCGCATTCTTTCGGCCGGATCGACCCTTTGCCAGCTAAATGGCATGGAATGACTTCTCTGCACTGAGCAGCGTCGTGAGAAAGGTTAAAGTGTGGGATGAGAAAGTTCGGATCCGTGGAGCAAATCAGGGTTAGGGTTAGGGTTATTCCGTACTGCCCAAACCAACCAACCAGGACTATACCACGAGATCTAGACTAGTGGTGTGGAACATGACCTACCCGTTTGGTAAGGACGGAAACCCGAAAGGTTGGTTGGTGCGTTGAAGGAGCTGTCCTATGAGCAAAAATAAGTTGATAAACAAAAAATCTAGTTCGTGTACAGCTTCTTCAACAGCTAGCTAGAACAGAGCAAGATGATTCGATTGGTACAAAAATCATATTTCTAGCATGCTTAATTGCTAAGAACAAGGCAGATAAGGTTCCCGTGAAGAAACGCACGTCAGTGACAAAATCCTTCAAATTGAGAGTGGCGCAATGGTCAGAGAACGCGTCCTCATCTCTTCTGCGCATACAAAATTATAAAAAACCTGGGCCTGGCCCCATACCATAATCTTGTATCACCTTATCAGCCTGTCAATATAGAAAAAGGGCTCAATGTGGACCGTTGGTGCTCCAGAATTCAGCGGCGGAAAGACCCTGCCCCTCATCTCAGCCCTTGTGGGTCTGTGCCGTCTCGTATGGCGGAACTTCTTTCGTGTCTTCCCTCCGGAGCTTGTCTCACACCGAAACTAGAGGCTGAAGGCTCAAGTCAAACGTTGACGAGTACGAGTTGACCTTTGGTAGCATAGCTAAGAGCAGCTTTACCTGTACGGACCCTCGTTGGACATTGGGCGGCCTGCGACGCAGTCTCTCCAATCACGAGGATCTCAATCACCTTCCCGGTCACGGCAAGTCAAAGTCTTGCTCTTTCTTTGATCTGAGGAAAGTCACAAGCTTCTCTTGTGAGATCGGGTCAGCTGTGCAAGGAGTCTGCGCTTCGCAAGTGGCTGTGGATCGGGTCTTTCATGACTTCAAAGCTTACACAATTGTCGATTGCGATGGCATGCAGCTTAATATGTCATGCTTGCGCGCTGGAGGCTGCTCGAAAGAAAGGCGCAAGACTCGCGACAGAGCCGATGTCATGCTATTTGAGAGGTGGACGGCGCGAGAGAGTAGCAAGGCCCGACAGCGAATCCTCTGCGGCGCGATGCTGCCAGATCTTCTTACATTGCACCGTCATCGTATCCATCAGGCAAGACTTTATCGTGGAAGAATTTGTGCCTCCTCTTCTTTTGATGAAGGATTGCCGAATCACCCTTCCAGTCGGAGAAAGTCGTCATGTTGAAGCTCCGGTTGAACTTGATCCGAGTGATGCTTCTCGTTCTGCTCAATGCCCTGGCATATTTTTTTCGTGAAGTTGAGCGCAACACGTCACAATGGTGACCAGGTGGTGAAAGACGTCAGCTCGTGAAGCAATGCAGCAGACAAAGGTGATGATTTAAGGGTCGGCAGGGTCGAAAATGAAGCGGAAGCTGGACTGGGGGGAGGCAAAGGGTCCACATCCGTTCTGCACCTCATTTTCGTCCAAATATTCTCAGTCAGATCTCCTAGCGTCGGGGAAATCGAGGGCGCTGAGTCAACGATTGGCGAATGATCGTCATTGATCTTGACAGCGCTCCGTCGCTGCCGGTCTCGCGCATCGGTCGGATCAGGCGGACATGGCACTTTTGAAATGGCATCTTTCATGACGCGCTGATCTCGTTTCCGACTTTTTCGTTCTCAACTTCTCGAATCTTTTGCCCTTCTCTCCTCGCTGTTGTACTTGAGATCTGCTCTTGCCAGCATGTCACGCTCGCTATTGGTAGGAGAGCCTCGTTTGCTCAGCTTGTCATTCGTCAGACATTTCCTTCTCCTCACATCGCGGGTCGAACAAGTAGGCTTTTTGCGATCGCACCGGATTTTCCTCTTTCGGCAGAAATCGCAAGCAGGTTCACCTTCGTTTGAACGTTCGTTTCGGAGGCGAAAAGATTTTAGGAATTCAGGGCGTGGGTGTTATCGCGAGAGATGTCAGAAAGCTTCCTACGAACACTCCCGTCGGACGAAATCCGCTTTGAAATGGAAGAGGCGCAGCTGCTATTCTGACGTTCTGTTGAGAGATGACTATGTTGCTTTAGCGACATATCCGCGATTCCCTTGAACGCTCGCTGGCCGTCCTCAAGAAACAGATTCTGTAGCTGCAAGGCATTCGCAATGATATGAGAATGACGGGAAAAATCAGAGGTGCTGACGAAAATTGACGGAGCGTCTGAATGGAATGTCACTGTCGGCGAAGAGTTGTCAGCCGGCGGCGCGTCAATCAATGTCGTGTGCATGGGTGTCTACGAATCTATCTTCATAGTTGATGAAGAGATATTTATAGGCAATTGAGATACACGCTAGGTCTCCTAGCCTCCCACTCAGCAGCATCTGCACTGAAACAGCCGCACATGTGAATAGGTAGCAAGCTCGTGTTCCGCACAGTCATTCAATTTGGCTTTTCTATGTCTTAATGCAGTGTGGAAGTATTTGCATCGGAGTTTGAATGAATCCCCGATTGCTTTCAGAAGTTATCAACCGATGTACGTACACGAAACTCGAAGGAAGGAAGTTATGGACGTGTCTCCTTACCATTTATAATTCTTGAAATTGTAGCAGCCCACACTAAAAAGGCAAAAATTAATTATGAACAAGCCAGGCCACCATCATAACGCGTTCGAACGGGCCACTGTAAAACCTACAAGAGCCCTGGCAGGTCATGCACAATCTGACCTGACATTGTATTGGAGCTTGCATGGCTGCATTATTCACCAAGGATGGTGCTTATGTTTTGAGTTACAAGCCTTTGTATCTTACCAGCCTCCCTCATTAGTGAAAGATATGGGCAAAACACAGGCGAAGCTTGTCGGGGAGCTGCCAACAGTGAATAAAAGGACCCTGAAAGCACAGATTGGCGAGCGTACATTGCGCTCTCTGGATATCACGGAATCGACATCGTCTGCGAGTAGGTGGTCTAGCAGACGAATGGTTCTTTCATCCTGAACCGACTTCCTGCATCACCGGCAGAACGGATCCTAGAATAGCGCCATTCGCTACATTTGGCTCTAGAAGCAGCGAAAGTGAAGGCAATCGCCATTATCGGCCAAGAGATGATCCAATTCACCTTGGGGCCCCTGTAGCAACTCTTCAATCTTCGCAGCCATATGTTCGATACCAGCCAAAAGCTGAAGACGTATGCGCCATTGCAGTGTTCGAACAATTGTCCAGAGGCTCTTCAACCGGGGCTGAGCGATCTACTGGTACGCTGGTGATCCCTGAGGAGGATCGACACACGCAAGCGAGCCACACTGGCCACATTGGCTTCATTTCCCACCAGCGCATGGGATGGCACCCAATACCACAATATTCTGCAGCTCTCGACGAATTCCGTTCGATCGAGTTGACCGATACATGGACCTGATCGATGCGCAATCTGTTCTATACCCACCTTGCAGAAAGTTCACGATTCAGAACAATCGCGGCCTTTTCTCCAAACAGCTCGGTCGCGCCTAGAGATGTCTCCGTTACCGACACTCTCAATCAGTGTTCGTCGAGTATGACGCGAGCTTCTGCAAGCATTGGCACGGTTCCCTTGTGCACAGACTCTTCGTTCCCTCCGGATGATCTGGGCAATCGTTTGGCACCTCATCCACAGTTTCCTCCTGGACCCGACCAATCGATCACTGACCGAGTCTGTCGAGCCGACCCCCATTCATCGTTGTCTGATCCTGGATTTCGCTCCGACACTCGCGCTGAAAGTTCTTCGGCCATTCGAACACGTAAAAGAGTAGCTGTCGCCTGTCAATTTTGTCATGATCGCAAACTCCGGTGCGATGGCTTTCAGCCATGTCGACATTGCGATAGGAGACGCATAGAGTGCAAGATTCGCTCGAGGAGGCAAAAATGAAGGGAAAGACGAGCAAGTGACGGACGAAGACAAGTGAGTGACAAGTGATGTTCAGATCTCATCCTATAAAATGACACCAAGGAAAGGTATGCTTGAGGATCAAGAAGGGTCGCGCATTGTTGCCCGAACCGCACGGAAGACGTCACTATCAGAAACCGTGTCTTGTCCATTGCTGTTTCGCGGCAATGACGAGCGTCGTTCCATTTTTGGCATCACCTCCGTCGGGTCTAAGATCGATGACTACATCTGCCTCAGGGATCCGCCCAACACAGATTACATCGTGACTGTAGCTTGACGAGCTTGTTACAAAGCCAAAGTTGATCGTTCTTATACGCCTGCCCGCTGTCTCTACCCCAGCAAATTTTGCCGATTTGCCTCGTTCAATGCGGAACATTGTATCTAACAGCTCTCTGCTGAGGAGATCGCGGCGAGAAAGCTTCGCCAATGTCAATTGAATACGAAGGATCCAGCAAATGTGTGCGTCTCGGGCGCAAAAGCCCGCCATTGTGAAGACAAGGGCCTGACGCTGACCCGTAAAAGTTCGCAAAATGAGATTACCCTAATGAACTGATATTATGCAGCTGCACTTGATCGCCCGATGCCGTCGATAAGGTTGGTGGGAAAGGGGTCAGGTTCCATCGATCAATATCCTGCCCTAATATGTCGAGTAGCTGATCGGCGCTGATAGTCCACTGCACCGCACTGTGCCCAGTGATGGGGAGGCCATTGTGCATGCATGATTGCTGCTGGTGTTGTTGTATCTCATCAGTGTGAACAAACTTTGACAGTACGTCTGCGTGCTCACAGAGCGCCTGTAGTTGACGAAGAAGAGTCGAGCCATTGTCCGTGAATGTTTCTGCAGCGATCGTTGCTCTGTATATGGTTGCTACCCAGCGAGGCATCATCTGGCGGTCCATGGTGCGGCAATGACCATTGGCGAAAGCAGCACAGCAGAGGAGAAGAGTGCTGCAAGCCTTGTGTAGCTTTACACAAAGCCCCTCGAAGATAGATCCAAGTCGAGTGCTGCTCACGGTTCGACGAGAGCGTCACCTCGCTCCCTGCACTGACACAGGAAAAAAACTAAACAGTGTATATGGAACACAGCAATTCAAGAATGCGAAGAAAACGTTACGGGTGAGCGCGTGTCACGCGGTCGAGGCAGCAAAGAGAGGAGCATTACACACAGAAAGGCTGGAACAAAGTCGATTTTTTGCTCGCAGCTCAGCGGGTTGTGCCCATGCGGTCAGGCCAAACTAAAAGAGGATGTAGACGAGGACCATACAGGCCGGCACTATTCAACCATTCAAGCACGCAGTCGAGGCAGCCGGCAGTGGCACAGGTGTAAGCGAGCTTGCCAGGAGGCGCTGTCACACGCAACCACCCAGCCAAAGACGAAGGAAGAGACACGAATCTGGTCGCCCTTGTCGCTTTTGTCACAGCCGCTAGTGCCGTATCCCGGCTCACAACAGGATTGGATTGTCGTCAGGACAGCATGCTTTGGGTCAAGAGCAATTCCAGCGAGGTTCAAATGGAAGGTGATCCTTACGAACCCTTTGGCGGAGGCTCGCCAAACCACCCCGTGTGGGAGTGCGATTGAAGCCAAGACTATCTTGTCAACGCTGCCATTTACAATTCACCACGTGTTATTGCTGGTACCATTCTCGTTCGTTACACGTGAAAAATACTACGTATTCTCAGGCACGAACGCGTTGAGCTTGTCGTCCACCACACCAACCAACGATCACGACTTCCCTCCTCGCTGCGGCTTCGTGGTCAGACCAAGGTGTTCTTGTTTTTTCTGACGCCAGCGGGCAACAACTCGTCGTATTACCAATAGAGTTCATGCTTCGCGGGCACACCGGCACATTCGCCTTCGTGTATGAGGTGTTGCGACTTTGTTTCGAAGAGGATGGCGTCATTCGCTATTCTTTGAATGGAGAAGAGATCGGCGAGGAGCTTCCAGTCTCTTCGGGGAGGTTTTGGTTTCAACGTGTAGGCAAGTAGAAGACGTGATCGAACATCATGAATGCCCGCTCAGCTACACTCTACAGACCGCTCAGCGAGCCCGTGTACACCAAGGAAAGGCCCGCGGTTTAAATTCAGGCATCGTGCTCCGGTAGATGGCGAAGAAGTCAGCACGGAGCTGAGAGCGGTGACGGCAATGACTGTTTGCGCCTCATTGTGCCGGTCCCACGCCTCCTGCAGCCAGCGCGAGGCCGGGCTGGCCTCTTAGCCATTCATGACGGGCATGTTGTTGTCCAGCACTTTGAGAAGGGCGCTGGATACGCTTCGTCATGGAAGCCCTTGCTTGCGATGCAATCGATCGAGCTTGTTGCGGACGACACGATCAGATCCGCGTAAGCAAGTCCAAATTCAAAACATTTGGAGTTTACGTCTTGAGATGGATGCACCGTAATGCTGACTCTCGGCATGACCAAGACTTCGTAAGGCAAGACAAGAGAGACAAGGCCTGACCTATCTAAGTTTTCTACAGAAATAGTCAGAGAGGCCGTTCGTGAATGTTTATGTCTGTGTCCACTCTTCTCTCGTCATTTCAGACGCGGGATACTGTGCGACTTGTGCTCGTGGCTTGTTTAAGAGATCATCCATGAGTTGCCGAAGCCGTCGCTCATGGCGCTCAGCAGTAGCCTTCTTCTCTGAGGCTGGAAGCTTTGATATTCGGTGAGCTTTGTCACTGTTCAATGCATCGTGGTATTTTTCACCTGAATGGAAAGTCAACACTGACTGCAGGATTTGAGCTTGTAAGATTGTTCATCTCACTCACCACAAATCCCGTTCCCCGAAAAAGAGAAGAATAGATAGATCTTGCGCTTTTTCCAAGCTTTGGAGTAGTGCTTTGGCAAGTACCTCAAGGAACGCTCGATAGATGTTTGGTACGTGAGTTGGATTTTTTTTTTTCCTCTCCTGGATCCATAATCGAGACAGAGAGAAAGCTTGCCACAGCTTTTTTATTTCTTCTCTCGAACTTACGGACTTGGGAGCTTCCTACACAAATGGCGGAGAGTAGCCTTCATAAACAGAACCGCATAATCTCTACGATAAAATTGCGATTTTTCCTTGATCTGCATCCAATAAGAACTGGAAAAAGGCACGGGTCGAATTAATTTGTCATTTCTTAAGGTAGTTGGACAAGGTCGTATCTATAATGATAGAGTTTATGAGCATCCAGTTGGAGGTGAGTTGAAGTAAAAAGAGCGTTTCGTGGATTTTGGGGTTTGGAGCTGTGATTTCGTAGAATACGGAGACGAGAAGGTAGAGCCCGAAGAAGACCCAGAGATGGTTGGCAGAGAGCTCCACGATCGACATAGGTACCGCTGTGGCGAGCGACATGGCAAGCCAAATTATCCTTCGGTCGTCAGTCTCTGCATTGAGCATGACGAAGTACCTTGGGACGAGAAGAATAAGCCGATTGAGCCAATGTAGGACAGAGAGGTAAGGATGCAGGGACGAATCGAAGTTGGGCCAATTGAGCGTTGCTGGCAGGATCACCAATGGCGGTGTAATGTGTTGGTGCGAAATGCATCGGTATGTGCCGAGGGTGTCTGCGAGCAGGTGGCCCTCGTGCGTGGTGTTCTGTGCGGTGCATATGGCTTGTGGGAACGAGTCAAGAATCATCGGATCTCTTGTTCTCGTCGCGACGTCGTAAATCGCGGCGAGGTGCCAGTGAAGGTAAAGGTTCTCGCTTGGTCTAACACCAGCGTTACCAACCCATGTGAGCACTTCGTCAAGCACGCAAGAGGCTACGAGGACGGTTAAAGCGAAATTTCGCGGAATGATGTCTCTCAAGAGGGTCGTGAAGGGCCACGAAAGCATTAGGATCGTACCTAATATTATCTCGCGACCCTGTCGAAGAGCTCGTGATGTCACTCCTTCCAGCCTCCTGAGGTCATATGCATGTCGGACTCGGGATGCCACCGTGCTTATTCCCATCGTATCTTCATCCCAGAACTCTATTGTGCACTGTGCAGTGGTATCGTGATGTTGGCGTTGGAAACGAGTAAACGGGTAAGAGTTGAGGTGAAGAGATTCCGCGTGGATACTTAAGGACACTTCGTCCGATTGGTGAAAGAGAAAGTCTTTCGGGAATGGTCTTGTCGGTGCAGCAAGGGCCAAAGATGCTACTGAACACTTCAGTAATATCCATGGTGACAATTGGGGAAGTCGTCTCAAACCCAGACTGCCCAAGCTTGAGCAAAGGCCGCGTATACCCTTGCTGGGATTTTGGAGCTTGTAGCGTGAGCCCAAAATAACGATGGTCGCGGAAGTGGCGCAGAGGAAGATAGATGAAGGAATTCGCAGCGCAAAGAATTCGATGCGCTCGAAAAGAAAATCCTGAATGCTGGAGGGAGGCATGTCGATTGGGGCTGCTCTTTACGCTCGAAGGGTTTTAGTGACTGGAGCTGGTTTTTATAGGTAGGCTCGTCATGAAAGAGACCGAGATCGATACAAAGATGCTAAATTCGACTCGCATGATGGCAAGTTGAATCCCTAAACTGTTCCTCGTTCGATCTTTAGGTAACATCCTACGAAGACGATTCGAGTGCAAATAAGAGGCCAGCACGAGAATAATATTTCTGCAACTGATCATTGCTTAAAATGGCATTCATCCTCCGACCATGTCGGGGTTAGAAATCAAATCGCGACCTAACACGACGATGTCATGGCACTCAATTCAGTCTGCTTCAGCCACGTCTCCTCTTTGCATTATTTAATTAGAAGAAGTAGCAAGAGGTACACTCACACTTATCTAGAAAGTAATTGATGGTGTTGATGATGTCACAGTCCGTGCCTTCACGGAATTAAAGGTTGTCGCTCGATCACCTCTACAAGAAATCCGAATATTTCTGGGCTGTTCGTGAGCTTCATCGAGCTACGGGGGCAAATTGATAGACGACCTTGTCCCCTAGAGCCTTAAGTTGGCGAATGCAGATTGATGCAGGATTTAGCAGAGGCGCTGCGCAGCGAGGCCGTGCAGGAAAAGAATCTTATGAAACCCAAAGGCTCTGCCTCTTAAGGCACGCTTGTGACGCAACTTAGATTTTGCTTGATTCCTTTCATTGCTACTCATCGACTCGACAAGGGCAGCGGTGATCCTCGCAAGGTTGTCCTTTTCGACACTCTCGAGATTAGATCAAAAGATGGATGAAGAATTGCCATGGCAACCGTGAAAGTGCTTCAGTTGTTTGCTCTTGCATCTTAGATTAAAGCCGTGTTCACACGAGCACGCACGATCACGAACGTCTATCTATCCAAGACAGCAAAAAAAGATCCACTTCGTCTCAGAATTATTGTTCTCACCATGGCTGACACAGATCTCCGATTCAGAGTGCCTTGAGAGCAGACAAGCTTTAGCTACGTCCGACGAGTTGCATTGACTCGCATCACTTATGCCGGTGCGCGCTCCCAAAAGGCGTCAAATTACGTGTGTGCTTCACCCTCGAAGCTTGATGGTGCACTTTCCAAATTTTCGAAGGATAAAAGCAGCGCTGAAGTTATCTGGAGAAGAAAAAAGCAAAACGCACATTCGCCTTATAACAAGCAACCAACAGAGGCATGCGAGGAGCATTGGCGTCACCATATCATGACGAGGTCCGCCAGCTCGCTTCGCCGGAAGCTCAGCCGCGCCCAGCAGTCGCTCCAGCATCAGATCCAGTTGCCGGCGCAGCGTGGACGTGCGCTGCTGCAGGAAGCTGCCCTGCCAGGCTCCAAGGACCTGGCAGAATTGACCTGCCTGCTCCTCCTCTGCGCCAAGCTCCGTCGCCGCATTCTGTCTCCGCGCCAGGATTGTCAAACCCATAAATACCACAAGCACCAGCAGCAGCAACATGGGCGTGATCGGTCGTCGTCAGATGATGCAGACAGGAGTGACTTTGATCCAGACGAAGGGCCACCGGCGTACGATGAAGTAGAAGAGGCGCCGCGACCACACTCGTCGATCGATCACCAGGGCCCACTGTCCGTCTCGCGACGCAAGGACCACATCTGGCACGCCTACCTCTATCAAGCCGTGATCCGCCTTCAGCTCTTTGTACACCGCGTCGTTCCCGAGGCGACGAAACGTGCTGTCGCCGATGTGCCGGCGCCGGCGCCTGACGACAAGGACACCAGCTCAGCGCGGGAGCTGCCTGCTTCGTACCTCCCTCCATTGGATGTCTGCATCGCTTGGGCTGCTACGATCGGACAGGTGGCCTGGTCATTGGAACCAGGAGAGAGCCTCTCGAACGGTCCCCGCATGAATGTGCTGGACGACTGGGTCTTTCCTTTGAGTCTTGTCGCAACACATTTCGATACCACAACTTGCCGGCTGCGTGATGGGACAGACATTGAGGAGGGACTGGTGGCGGAGTCGAACTGGGAACGCTTGACTGGCACTCCTTTTTACGCCACAGATGCAGTCTCTACCGCCTCTGCCTTTTCTACCTGCTCGTCATCGCTACCAGCATCCGTGTTTCACTCTGATGACCGACTGCCAAAAGCCCTTATCATCGCCTGTCCGCAACCAGGATGATCCTTTCAGGCGCCCATCGACATCGTCTCGCCCTCGATTCAGGACGTGGCAGTGGCGTCGCTCAGGCGGTCGCAGAGAGGCTTCGCCCAACCTGGCTGGCGAAGAGGGTGCAAGCAGTGCGGCACTTCTACGTTGGTCGAATTGGACACTCTTGCTGGCGCCCAGCTAATCAATGACCTCGAGACATGGTGTCAAGATGAGACATTCGTCTTCTGGTGAGTGTCTCTTAATTCTGGAATTGTATGGGATCTCCGCCTATCTGCACTGTAGGCTGACAAGCATGTAGTGGCCTCGAACATGACGTCGAGTCTGGCATTCCGCTGCCTCGCTGCTATTCCCATGCCCTGGCTGCCCACCTTCTCACTCCCCTCTTCGGCAAAGCCATGTCGCCTCGGCGTCGCACAGCCAACGAAGCTTACGTGAAGGAGGCACTCTCCCTCGGGGACTCGA